TCTATCCACAACGATGCAGAGTCAACAACTGGTGCTATCTGTACGGAGGGATCTCCATTCAGTTCCCTTTTGATGAGCACAGTCCTTCCTTCTGGTATCTGTCTCATCACCCAGTGACACCTGCTTTGTCTCTTTCAGATGTTCAGTGGTGTAATGGTTCATTTATCAATTCATTCAGTAGTTCAACAACCTTAGGTTTGGTACTGTGCTAAGGACTTGGTATGCAAGGATGGATAACCTAGTCTCTGCTCTTTAGGGACTCACAGTTTAGTAGGGGAGGTAGATGCATAAGAAAATAATTGTGATGCTAAGTAATAAATGAGATATGAAAGAAAAGGAAATATTCTCAGAGCACTGGACACAGAGACACAGCAATATTTCTGCCAAGGAGATCAAGAGAAACACAAAGAAGATGTCAATTCAGCTGGCCCTGGAAGAATGAATGTGACTTCTTCAGAGAGAGAAAGCAAAAGATAAAAGATCATTTGAGTCAGTATGAGCAGAGGCCCAAAGGTGTGTGGGTACACGATGTTTGGGATATTGTGACATTACATCATGTCAAGTCTATCGCTGACTAAATATAGGCACATGTGTTTTGTACTTTATAATGAAACCATCTGTTCCCTGATACCCTACCTCAATTTTGATTGATTTTCGCCCTAATTTAGTTTCTCAGTCAGATTTTTCAAACTGAGGGTTGTGAAATAAATTTAGCAGTTCTCCAGGAGCATTTCTTTTCAACTAAATGGCATAGAAAAAAACTAGAATAAAGCCAAATAGAAAAATATCAGAGTGCATTGACTTAGGGGGGGTAAGTCTTGCTTTGTGAAACTTGTTTTGGTTGTGTGTCTTTCTATGTGTCTGTTCCATAATGTATTTCTTATGGTGGGTCACAATAAAAAAGTTCGAAACCCACTGCAGTAGTAATATTTTCTATTACTTTTCATTGCACTCATATTATATTGGTTATGATTAGACCTTGAGTCCAAATCAACCTTGGTTTTTAATGAAGTGACAAATGACACAGACTGACCTCATTTATAAGCCTGGCATCCAGGCAAGCATCTGTTTTACTGAACTCTAGTTACATTTTACCAGGTGAAATGATTCTAGCTTGGGAATGAAACCACCGTTTACATTGTTTTAACATTATTTTTCTATTCTGAGTTCCAGACTACTAAATTAAAGACCGTATATAGAAATATAACCAATTAGTAGTCAGCTTCCTAAGAGACTGACTTCTTTTGTTATAGTCATTCATTCATTCAACAATTATTGAGTGCCCAATGGTACTCCAGATGCAAGAGATAACAGTGGTGCAAAAGAAAGACAAGGTTACCAAAACAAAAATATTTTATATTAAATGTTCATACTAAATTTGTGTTTCTTCCAATTAGCATGGAACAGATATTTTTATAAAAGATTTAGAAACAAACCACAAAAATATTTAATGAAAGAAAAATAAAAACCCAATTCCAACTTAGACGAGGAAAATCACACAGTGTATATTGCATAGGATGTTTAAAACTAGATGAGATACATGGCATATTTCACGAAATGATTTTAATCTATCCCCTGTGTAAAAAGTAGAAGACATATGCTCATATATAACATACATTTTGTAAACATATGAGTCTTACGCAGTAGGGAATGAATATCTATACTACTGTTGTGTTGTACTTAGAAAGTTTAAAGTTTTCCATTGAGAGTAAAGCAATAGATTTTTTAAGTTGCATACCAAACTGCGAGTAAACCTTGAACTTTTCACATAAACTTTCTCTCATTTAATTTATTCTTTGTAGTTTTATATATAAATGGTGATGAAAAGTAATAGCATTTGCTTTTTATCCCTAGCAGTATTTATAATTACCATACTAGGACTTATAAAATCTATTTTGTTTGCTTTGTGACATTTAAAAATTTTTATTTCAATATATTTCAGTTGAAGGCCTGTACTATGGGCCAAGATTCTAGGTAGGGAAAGATACACATATTTTATATTACTGATAAAATATTTCAATAAAATGTAAATAAGTGTTTTCACTTATTCCATTGCTTCATATATTTCTCCAGCCCCATCTGCATGTCTTCATACTGCTTTCTGTGTCATTATTCTCACTTGCTTCTAAGGCCATCACTTGCCATCTTTAACTGCTCTTTTGAAGCTATTTGGGAATATAAGAATGTCTTGGTCAACTTTGGAAATTTATTTTACTTTAACCCGTTGTCTATTTCCATGTTTTTAAACTTATTTCAAAGGGTCCTCTAATCTCCATCATCTGTTGAATGTTTGTCCCAGTTTCAGAATAAGCGAGTATACATTGTTTCCCTGAGGGAAGGAGGGGTGGGAGGGAGAGGAGGCTTATTTAAACCTATATGATTTTTCTAGAGAAAAGGTAGAGTTCATATTTGAGACAATGTTGAAGGTTTAGAATGCCTGAAACACATGGCAATCCAGAAACTTTCATATTTAGACATTTGCCCCGTCGGATAAGGTGCTGCTTCCCCCACCTTCACATCAGGGGTTATAGTGGAGTCAGCTGGACTATGGTTTCCTGAGACGAACATGCTTAGGTTGAGATCAAGGCGAGAAAACTCTTGGACAAAATGGTTGTTTGACAAATGTATCAGTGACTGATCAGAATACACAGATAGAAATTTTATTTTGAAAAATACAAAATAAAAATCAAATGGGAATTATTAGAAATGCTGAAAAGAAATTTAAGTGAAAATACTATTTTGATGGCTCTTCAGAAATCTTTTATGCTACTTCTCTTTTGTCACCAAAAGAATATTCATCACAACTCTTAGATGCTAAGAGAGAAAATGCATTGTGTCTCCTGGTATTTTCCTTTTGACTCTTGCTTAAAGGACAGAAGATTTGATATAATGCAAAAACTAAAACTAAAAATACCTGGAAGGGACCTGAGAGGGAGTAATCCGGAAAGATCATGCGTTCCCAATACCTTCATAAGCCTTCTTATTGGCCCAAACTGGGTTTAGTATTGTCCCCGAGTCAACAAAAATATTGCCTCATACTTTACTTTTTATAATATCAATATTAAACAAAGTGACAAGAATATTTAAATCTGGAAAGGAAGAGCATCTAAGATTTTCAAAATCCAAGGTGTTAGATTTTTTGAACTATTAGCATATACTCTGAGGATACTTAATGTTTATTAACTGATGATGTTTTGATCATAAAAAATTATCAAGGATGTTTGACTTTTTACTTAAATTGTACAGGTTCAGAAACCCAAAATACTTTGTTGGGGCCCTAGGAATACTCAGATCTGGTTAAATTTTGAGAAATTTTACTATTCTGAATCATTTATGCAAATTCATTGGTAACCTGTTCTGTATGTTCGCTGTTGTTAATGTATATCCAAGCAGGAATTAGGCCTTTTTATAATGCTGTTTCTCCTTAGAATGAGGAATGGCTCTTTTTCCTTTCTTCTGGGAAGCCAAGGAGGAATATGGAGCTGACAGCTGCAACACGAAACTGAACTAAAACAAGAAGCTCGGAGTTCAATGCCACCAAACTTTTCAATCTGTTTTCTCCCCTTCATCGTTATTTGCACTGCTACCACAAGCAATAACGGATGCAGTTTCTAGATGTTTTAGAACAAATAATTATTTCCAGATGAAAGCAATAATAAATGCAAAATGCGTTTTTTCAGTTATATCTAAAATTATCCACATGATGTTGCTCCTGTGGATCTACAGGTAGTTTCCAATTTGGGGGAAGTGAGGAAGGGGGTGCGGGGTATAACTCACCATTTTAAAAATGGTGTCCCAGAGAGGATCGGAATACCTGTGCCTCTGTCATCATATGCACTGGATGGAAATGTACCTGAAACTGATGAACATGAAAACAAAACGTCAACATGAACGCGCCGATACTTTCATCTACGGACAGTGGTAACCTGAGGCGCTGAGGACGCTCAGCAAGAGGTCACATGTGTATTAGAGATGAAGCAGACACTTGAACATCTGTCCGCTTCATGGGAAGCCTTTTCATCTCAGAAGACATGTACTAATAAGCAACAGTTGGAGAAAATTGTCTAAGACACTCAACATAATGCTGAGCTGAGGCTGAGAGGACAGTGGATTTGTATTTCCTTTAGTAAAGAGAAAACAGCCGTGAGTGCAGCCTCTTCTAAAATCTGATATTTAAAGAGAATTGTAACAAATCAAATTGCTCAATTTGGAACGAAGAGTGGCCGAAGTTACTGGAAAGCTCATGCATCTGAGTCTGCAAAAACGCTGGCCAGGAAAGCAAAACTTTTCCAACACCCAATTTTAATATTGTGCTAAAGCCATTGACTCTGTTAAAACCCTGGAGTTAAATACGATCCCCTCCCCACCCCCCGCCCTTTCTCTCTTAGGTTAGCGTTTGGGGGACAAGGAGGGAGCTGGAGCTTGGCCCCAAGCTCGGAATTGCTGCCAAGGGCTTGTAATACAATCTCTCCCCGTTTGAAGGGTAAATCAGTGTCAATTGGGTTCGCTGTCCACAAGAAAAAGTAAGCGTTTTACTTCCGCCCGGTCTATGTGGACTGATGAAATGTAGGAAATCTATTTCTGGCAGGGGGGAGAAATCGTTTTCCCAAACAGCACCGAGAGAGGAGCCATCAGCGAAGTATGAAGAGGGCCAGTGCGGCTGCAGCTGCCGCCGCCGCCGGGCCGCTGGGGTGCGGAGCGCGGCCGCCGCGGGCCCTGCGCCGGGAGGGGGTCGACCCCGAGACGCCGCGGGAGGCCCGCGCCGAGCCCCGCCGCCCCTGAGAGCCGCAGCCAGCTCGGGACGCGCGGTGAGCAGCGGCCTGTCCGCCGCCCGCGCGGCAGCGCGCCCTGCGCCCGGGGGAGCCCGGCGGCGGGGGAGGGGCGGCCGCGAAGGATGCCTCGGGGTCGCGGCTGGGCAGGGCGCAGAGCGGCGGACGGTGGGGCGGCTCGGGCGCCGAGGGGGTGGTCGCTGCGGTGGGGGACTCTCCGATTGCCCGGAAACAACCATGTGTTCCTCATCCTATTGTGGAACAGCCCGAATGACCGCCGCGCGAAAAGCCCGCTGGGGCGGCTCAGCCAACCAGGGACAGAAGAGAGGATTTCTAATTAGCGCATCGATTATGAATGTGTGCGGATGCCCTCGTGCACAGGGACCTCTGGTGCATGCTCAGCGTCGTGCGTTGTTGGGGAGAGGGGATGGTGTCAAGGGTTTGATCTTGAATGCTTTACTTGAGCGAAGGAGGCCGGGATGGGAGGAAGGAGCGCGACATGTGTGATCTGGAGTAATACTCGCTGTTTTCGACTGATGAGTTTGACAGAGTTGAGCTTTTTTACGTGCATAAACAAGTGCTAGCCTATGAATCAACCTCCTTTGGGAAGATTTTACATAGTTCTTTTAGTCTAAAGAGCAAGGTTTTGGAATCTGAAATTGGTGAGCAGAGGAGCCAGCTGTGCTTTGGAGGCATTAATTATTTTGGCAAAATTAAATTCTTTTAGCCCAGTAGGTAAATTGCCCTTCACCTAGCCCAGACGTGCAAAGATGTGCTGTCTCCAATGGGGAGAGAGCCAAACCAGGGGTTAAGAGATTCTGTTTTCTACATTCCAGCACAATTGGGAGTGGGGGTGGATTATTCAGTGTTTTCCCCCAGTTAACCTTTCGGAAATCAAAACCTTTACTCTCCCCACCTTCTTCATTTTCATCCTCTCACCTCCTTCATCTTCCTCCTCTTAGAGTGAAGAGTTTGCACAACTTTGCTGTCCCTCTGTAAGCCCCTCCCTCTCCCCAAGAACCCTCTCCAACAAAGCTGGATCAACTGTGTATGGGAGATCTTATGCGGAGGAAATAAGATCTGCTTGTGCACAGGAACACCCATTTGGCCTCCTAGTGTTAAAATAAAGGCTCAGACCGGTCGGATGTGCCAGCCAGGCAGAGGAAGTCCACCTTTCCTCCCCACCTGTCCCCTGAGATTCACACAGGCAAGGCTGAGAACAAGCCCTGCGCTCATTGCTTTTTCCCCCAACCTCTTAGCAGTGTGGACACTGATTAACTACAGCTGGGATCTAGCTTGCCCAGCCAGTCTTTGAAATCAATCAATGAGTTCCTTCGCGAGGAATGCTCCCCCCTAACCGCGGAGGACGAGGTGGTGGCTGTCGTGGTCCTCTCCAGCATGGGCGTCCTGGTTCTGCCTGCCTAAGTGAAGGTAAGGGGCAGACGTCTGAGGCATGGGCCAGGCAGCGCTGCAGTGAGCACTGTGGTCTTTGCACGTGGCTCCCGGAGTGGGCTCTGAAACAGAAAGGTAGCTTGGGTTTCAGCCTGTATGCCACTAAACTTTGGGCTTATTTCTTCACTTGATTGCTAAACACCATACTTTTGCAATGTGAATTGTGCTTTATTGGGAAATAAAGTCACATGGCAAAACTTATTTCACTGGTGTGAAAGGTCATGTGATTGCCACTAAGTTATCTAGTATCTTGGTAAGAAATCTTAAGCTTGAAGGTGTAGTGAAATGGCAGGTCTCATATTAATACTAAGTATGTTATGCATAGTTCTAGAATTTTGCTGCAAGGCTGCATTATAGACTTTTGCAGCCTTCGGAAGGCCAAAGTTACCTTGTTTGAAACCAAACAGTGAGGTGCTAACAATCTGTTTGCAGAGGGAGTTTGTTAAAACTGCAGTTGATGTTAAGGTTATTTTGGCATCTTCCTGGTTTTAATATGTAGGCACAAAGAGGATCCCACTGATTCTTTTCATTTCTCCTGAGCAAATAGCAAGGTTTTCCACTCAGTGTTTTCAGACTAGAGAAGAACTGGAGTAAAGGTGGAAAATCTCTCCTGTCAAAATGAGTACGATGCTTGTGTAATTTTTCTGTCCTAAGTGTTTTCAGGGTCAATTCAATTGAGGTTTTGCTAACGTTCTCCCTTTACATGAGATTATGTATATATATATATATATTTTTTTTCAACAGACAGAACTCTGCAAACGTTTAACTACACTAGAGTTCAGTAAAACAGAAACCTTTGTGTTACAAACAACACAAAAACGTCCAAAATTTTCTCCTGAATTAAGTTTTGCTTCATCAGCTTGGATGAAATTTTGATGTAAGTCCTTAAATATTCTAATTGATTAATGACTCTCAGATGGTTTCCTATTCAAATTATATCTCAAGTTAATCTGGGAGGCATCCAAAAACCTATGCTAAACTGTTTGGAAGAATAGTTTAGTAGAATTAAAAGGAACTTGAAAAAAATCTTGAATGCCATGAAAATATAAGGAATCAGTTCCCACTGTGTCTTAATGTTTTGGTCATGATTTGAGAAGGAATTATTATTGTAGGTATATCGTTATTTGGTTCAAGACAAATCATCATGGGGTTCCAGGAAAAGAAAGAGATTCTTGGAAGGGAGTTAACATTACTTGAGATGGGGCACCAGGAGCGTTGAGGAGGGTGCTTCCAATGACTCTGTGGTTCCATAGCCTTGGTACTTTGGGCAAAACATCTGAGGCCTCCAATCCCTTATTAGTAACCAGGAATTTGACTAGGTAAATCTTCTAAGCTCCATTTGAGTTTAAAGATTTTATTACATCATTACAAAAACTGGTAATGAGTGTTATTTTGCCCTTAGGCTTGGTGTTTTTTATTTGTAAACAAGTTGCTCCCCTTAGCCAGAAGTGGAGCTCTATTTACAAGATCTAGAAATACCTTCATGATTAATTTTGAACTTTATTTTCTGATTAGACCCTTAGGATAAGATTTTGCGTTAGAGACGTTGGTTGGGAATACATAGCTTTGAAGGGACATTATTGATTGGCCAAAATGACTCATGTAGGAGTAAAGAATGCGGAATGGTGGAAGAGCCATCTACAGCCATCCTTGGTTGGTAATTCTTGGAGTCTGGCTTGAAAGATAGCATTTTCTTCCTCCAGATTTTGGAAGAGTGTTAGGCTTGGGTCTTTTTTTTTTTTTTTTTGTAATTTTAAGAGATAGTGTTATTGGCTTATAAACTTTGTTTCTCATTGTTTCACACCCATAACACACAAAACTGACCAGATAGAGATGAGGTCAGTGCTGCAGATAAGAATAAAATTGGCTTTTAGGGATGAGACCCTTGATGGTGGGTTCATTAGCGCTTTTTCTTTAACTGGCCACAGTTAGGGAGTGTGTGTGTGTGTGTGTGTGTGTGTGTGTGTTGGGGGGCGGTGTAGTGTCACCCTCTGACATTTGAGAGTTACTATAAGCATTCACTTAATAGCTTATTAAGTCTTTAATTGGTGCCAAAAATGAAGTATAATTTGTTACCAAAGCTTGTTTTTAAAAGCACATGTAAACTACTCATTTTAGAGCTCAACGTTTCATTCGTCATCTTGGGGGCTTCATCCCTCTCAGTATGAAGAAAACTTTGGATTTTCATTATTTATGGCTTTATTTCATCAACACTTTTTTCTCGTTTCTCTTCTTTATCCTTTGTCTTTTCTTAGCGGTTTAGAGGTCTACAAAACAATCCTATTTTTTTGTTACAGAATAGTTTTTCTTCTTAAAATAAGTCACTGGAAATCTTATTTTAGCATATCTCCTATGGCGATCATTTAGACTTAGCTAGTATTTATTGAATATAAAATATATGCTGAACACTGGCACAAATACTTAATCTTCACAATTATATTTGAGATGTTAGCCTCCATCGTCCATACTGGAGAACTCAAGTACAAAGAGAAAAAGTCATATCACCAGAATAGAACAGCTACTAAATGGCTAGGGAGTGGAGCCAGCATTTGACTCCAGAACTTCTGATTCCAATTCTAATATTGTATCCATTTATCAGCCACCTTAGTGGAATCTCACAGTAGACAGTAGTGACATAATGTTTGTCATTTTATTCTTATTTTTCTTTCCTTCCAATTTATTTTCTATGCAATATTGCAATATGTTTTTTATAACATATCAGCAAAGTGTAGAGTGAGACCCGAAACCATGTTGGTCATAATCAAAGCACACCTCTAGGTGGCATGAAAGAATACTTTTTCTTCAGAGTCAAAACTATGATGTCTTCAACTGGGATTCTGGAGTAACAGACTAAACAGAGTTTTTAAACATGTGATATTTTACTTACAAAGTCATTAATTTTTTCTTCTTCCTCTGGGCTAGTTCAAGTCTCATCATATTCATAATGGTTATTCCAGAATCGCTTCTACCATGGAAAGAAAGAAAAAGAGATACACACACATTCTTTAAAGAATTCTATATTAAGTTTCTGTGTGTTTTTTGCTTTAAGTTTTATTTTTCTGAATTCCAAATCCTGAGGGCTGAGTGATCCATTTTTAGAGAGACCCACAAAGCTTGGAGAAGCCGTGGTTGAGAGGAGTCATAGAAGCATTGAATTCCTTACTCCTCTTTCCAAAGCCATTGGCTTTGCTTGGTACTCACCAAAGTTACTTGTCAAGCTTTTTAAACATTTAGAGTATATGAATTTTAATAGTAACCTCTTTCCGTGTTCAGATATATTAGACAGAAAACTTTTTTCTTTCTCTCAAACTTAACTTTTTTCTTCAACTCTAGTGGATCATTAATCATTTCGTTCCCATCTTTAAAAGCTACCCCTTGGCATCTCTTGTGCTTTTTGAAAACTTTTGAATGAATTCAAAAGATCAGAAATGATCTTTTTATTATAGTTTGTTCTTTGTGTTCTAATTCAACTCGTGAAGATTGACTAAACATTTGTTGAAGATTATAAAAAGGTTACAATCTTGTAGTCATCTTTTTATCTGGGTAATATAAATTTATTTGATCTTGATTGACCCCAATTTAATCATTTCGATTGGAATCTACTTCACCATGGGATAATTCTTCCACCCTCCAAATTTTGATCCTGCTAGCTGGGTTGATGTCCAGGTTTCCTAGTCGTGTCTCCGCCATATCTAAATCCAAGACCTCTATGTAGTGACTTTCAGCTAAACCATAGAGTCATGCTGAGTTTGATGGTGATTTGAAATATGAAAAAAGAATCAGGAGAATTTGGATTGAAATCCTATTTTATTTCAAAACGGACTTAAACAGAGGCATCCCTATGTGTGGCAGTGACTGTAGGTGTCTATATATTTGGCATATGTTTAACTCCTCTTACATCCTAATTACCCACTAAGCTTGCTTTCTCCCACTTTTGCCTCCTGGGAAAATATAACTCTATTCTTGTTTTTCTTTTTCCCTTTGTATATAATTTTAATTATATACAAAGCAGCATAACAAAAATTGCTTAATTATTCTTGTTTTCACTTAATGATCATCCGTTAATATTAGAAGATATAGTTTGAATTACATTTCTGGCAAAATACAGGACAGACTACATGAGAAATAAATGTGCCACTGTCAAGGAAAATAAAAACTTCACTGTTCCAAAGTATCGAGGGGAAGGCTTGTGTCCCTCTGGCTCATTGAAACTGTTACATGCCATTAGGCTTACTGTAAACTATCCCGGAATGAAATCTTTGCTGGACAATGAGCTTAAGAATCTGAGGTGTCTTCTTGCTTTTACAGAGCAAAATAGGACTCTGATGCTTAAGTGGAAGTTGCAGAGCACATAATAGGATGTAGGTAAAGTTACTGAACTACCACTTCTCACTTTCAGGAAAGTAGTGGAGAGATTGTGTCTTGAGAAGAGGGGCATTTTAGAGGTAACCCTTTTAAGATTTCAATTAGTTATTTAAATGTATGAATCATGTGCTGTAATGTATTATTACTTAAATGTTTCTTTCTGAGGCTGGCTAGCCTATAGGAATCCTAACCAGCTACAGGCCGATGTTTTGTTTCCCTGCGACGGGAAATTTTTAAAAGAACTAGGGCAAAAATGTTTTAGGTTTCTGGCATTTACTCCCAGGTTTTGGATGAATAGGACTTTATGTGAATAATGTCATGATTAACAGCGAAAGGATAGATAATTGTGATGTTCTGGTTCCTATAGTGACAATTTAGTAACGTGACAAGGTGTGTTAAAAATATTTCACATTTGTGCTGATTGACTTTAGATAATTAGGTATATAGAGCGTTATTAAAAATGTTTTCAAAGAAAATTGATGGTAATTTTTTGGAAAAAAATTACTCCAAAGCATAATTGCTTTGGAAATGAAATTGCCCGTGCTTTTTAATTAGAATTAGAGTTTGAGATTAACTAGAAAGGAATGCTATGTAAAATTTCAAAGAATAAAACCAACAAGCACATATATAACTTATCTTGGTAAGTTTAAAATACCATACATATTGGAATATAGCTGAAAACCTCATTATATCATATAAACATTACTTCTTGCCAATTGCAAATATTTTTATTTTCATTTTCATTCAGTCGTAATGCATTTCATTATTTCATATGCACTATTTGTATGCAGAAGGGACTCCTACACATTGGTAAACTTAGGATTTTGTAATCTTAGCTGCTTCAATATTACTTGTGTAGTCTTAGGTCCAATAAATCCTGCGTACGAAAGCGCTACCTTGAAGGCCGAGTATGTGTTCAAACATGTTTTCTACATTTTCATATTGTGCTATTCATAAGGTGATTAGGTTAATGAAATCATCTCTTATTTTGTAGATGTAAGGTAATTTAATTACTCTAAAGATGATTGTAAACAAAACCTGGTCCGTAAAACACAAAGTGGGAGGACGCAAAGTAAGACAGAAGAAGAACCTGTGGCAGTATTTATTAGAATTAGGGTGTAATTCTTGGGTTCTAATATGGGTTCTTGATGAATCCGCTCTGTAAAATCTGTTGTTCTGGAAAGAGTAATGGTCTTAGAGTCTGAAGACCCCAGCTCCAGCCTGACTCCACCATGTTCTCGCTGTCAGATCTGGGTGAAGTCACTTACCCTCTCTGGGTTTTGTCTGTGTTAACTGTGAAGTGAGAGAAGTGTAGGAGGGGGTCCTTGAAAGCACCTCCTCCGGTCTCCCACTCAGTTCTCTAAATTGTGAGTCTGTGATTGCTTAGCTATCTGCAAAGAACCAAGTGCCCGGCTTCATCTTATCAGTGATAGTTTTAAGAGTAGAGACCGTATGTTTACAATGAACTGTGCAAATACTGTCATTGCTAGCACTTAGTCCTAAAATTCTGTGGAAATCTTTGGTTTCAAAAATTAACCTAAACAATGGGAGTTTACAATTTGGATACTAAAATTTTAATCAACCATGTTTCATTGCTTTTGAATAAGTGGAATTTCTTGCCTTAGAAGCTGCCTTTTTCCAAGTAAGCCTAGAGCTTCCTGTTTGATTTTTCTCTTTGACCTTTGATTGCTGCTGTGTCCTACATGTGGTTGGTCAAAAGTGATAGGACTGGTACAGATGAAGCAAATAGTGTTTCATGGGGTTTAATAATTAATAACTTGACCTGTCATCAAAATGTCCATGGATCCGGTTCCTTACTGTGTCATTGGCAGCAAGATTTTAACAAGAGAAGTCTGTATATAAAACGCAATTGTTCTTTTGTTTCCCAAACAGATACTACAAGTGGATAAATAATGTGCACTGCTCTGAGCCCAAAGGTACGCAGTGGACCTGGCCTCTCTGATATGCATCAGTATAGCCAGTGGCTGGCCAGCAGACATGAAGCTAATTTGCTACCGATGAAAGAAGATCTGGCCTTGTGGTTAACCAATCTATTAGGTAAGGTTATAAGATCTCATTTTGTGAGCAAAGATAACAGGTTTGTTTCTTTTCCCCCTCATGTGGTGTCCTTCACCTAAGCATGTGACAGCCCTTGGAAAGAAAGACTTTCATTATTTGGATTTTGCATCTGGGAAACCTGAAGCATGTGGAAAATCTAAATGAATTTCCCAATGTCTCTCACATTAACTGTGCTTAGTAATTCCAATATCACGCATTGAAATGTGGAAATTTGTGGTCACATTGCTTATTTCATCTATATGCTGATCTGATTTATTTTTTACTTTTCTTTCGTGCAACTGACCAATTTGGCCTATTCTTTTGACATTACACCCAGGCCACAGTCTGTGAAATCTAACTTCTAAAACCAAACTTCTCCGCCCTACTTTCATAGCATGGCTTCTAAAACTGCTGAGTACCCAGCTGCAGAACAAAAACACCTCTCCTTTGTCCAAATGAGCTTACTAGAGTCACCCAACCTTGAACTAAATTTTTCTTTTCATTTCACTTTTGTTTTTAAGTACTCTTCCAAAAGGATTGTCTTCGAGAAAAATGCTTTCTCCTGCTGAGGCTGTCTCTTTTTTTGTTTCTATTGTGCTGGCATAGTCATAGGATAAAATTCCAACCATGCGCAAAATGGAATCACACATTTAAGGGATCATCACATATAGCAACACTATTTCCTCCAATAGTTTTTCAGAGAATAAAATTGATTTTAAGACCCAAGGCAAGGACCCTTAGAGAGTTTATAGGATATAAGATTTGAATACTCAGTAAATATCAAATTTATCTGGTGCTTTATCATTTGCAGAAGGGGTTTCACCAACATTTCTTTGTTATTTAAAGAATCTTTCAGGGGAAGTGTTGTCTTCACTTTATAGCTGATGAAACTGGAGAGCTTCGTGAGAAGCACCCTGTCCATCTGAAATTTTAGCAAAGTTTTAGCGAGGTTTGGCAGGGTTTTTTCACATTTTAGCAACATTTTCCTTTTGCTCACTATGGCTCTGGATTTTTGCATTGCTTTTGTCTTTTTTTTCTCTAACTTTTGTTATTCCTTTTTCCTCACTGTGTGCACACTATTTTGACAACTCTACAGAGTCTAACCAGGGATACCGCCTATGGGTGTGCAGGTTGTACCCTTCACAAGGGTGCCCGGCTGAAGGCTAAGGGCAGAAATGAGGGAGGCACACCCCAGAAGCCCCTTCACCACACCGTGGAGCTGTGTCCATGAGAAGGAAGGGGGTCCCCCCTTTTAGTAATTCATCCATGCAAAAGAGCAGCTTTGTCTTCGTCACGTAGAGGGAGTCAGTTTAGCCTACACAGATGTGTTTCCTTCTTTTTTGTCCTTCTGGGGTTTGCTAATGATTGTTACATTAGTAATTTGTTATTAACTTTGAGCTGTCTTCAGATATGGGTGCTCACAAGTACGGCAGTAGAGAAGTTAAGAACACAGACTTGAAACAGACTGCCTTGTTTGAACCCCAGATCTGCCACTTAACAGCAATATGATCTTGGGCAAGTTATTTAACCTCTCTGTGTCTCAGTTTCCTCATCTGTAATACAGTGGTGATAATAGTAACGTCTACCTTGTATATATATGTTGTATCTGTGATACTGGGCAAGTGTCTTAATGCACCGTGCCTCCGTTTCGCCATCTGTAGAATAAGTATAATACTCGTACTAACGTCATAGGATTGTTGGAGATTTTGAATGAGATCATCGCCTTTAGAACACGGTCTGGCACACAGTAATCAATTGGCTATAGTGAATCCTAGCTATCGTGATGATTGTATCCCAGACTTGGTCGGCTAGGTCCTGGAGGATGGAGTGGTGATTAAGAATAGACAGAGTGCCTCTTCTTATGGAGCTCAGGGTAGATTGAAAAAGAAACATTAAATAAATAATTGAATAAATAATTCATTAATTGGACTTGTTATAAACACTAAAAGATATAGTTTGCAATAAGAATGTAAAAACGAGGAGGTGGGAATGGGACAAAGGATCAGAGGACTTGTGGAAATCCTCTTTGAAGAGTCTTATATTTAAACTGAGCACTGAAGAATAATTAATAGCTGGCCAGACAAAGCATGGGAGAAGAACCTGGGTGGAGGGAATGGTGTGTGCTGAGATAGGAAGGAGGTCGCTACATTGGAAGAACTGAACGAAGGCTGATATCAACAGCACAGAATCAAGAGGGGGAGAGTTTCATGAGATTTGTTGGGCTGGATCATATACTGCTTTGAAGCTCATGTAAAGGAGCTTCTAACTTATTATATGATTGATGAGGAGCCATTGAGATGTTCTAAGCAGGGGAAGACTGTGATTAATTAGAGTATAGCTGGATTATACGGGCATGTTCCAAGGTCCCATGATTTGTCATCAAAGGTATTTTATTTGGTGAATGTGATCCTTTACAAAGCAGCTTGATCAGTGTGAGCAGCCCGAGACAGCCTCAAAGAATAGAGAGTCAGTGTGTTTGTAATGGAAAGATCCTTGGACCAAAAGTCAGGATACCTGGCTCCTAACTGGGCGTCAGGAGACCTGGCTTTGGGTTCTGGCTCTGCCACTCGGTAGGAAACTTGCCCAAAGTAACTCAGCTATCTTTTCTGGGCTCGGTGTCCTCAACCATAAAATGAAGGGGTTGGAGTAGATGATCTCTAATGTCCTTTCCAGTTCTGAAAGTCTAAGTTTCCAAGAAATCCATCTCTTGAGACCCAGTTTGAGATCATCAATGTGCATAAACAAGGAGAAAACAATTTACATAAATGAATAATCTTTCTTTTAAAGAATAAGAAGACGTATTTTTTAATGTCAGGAGCTCGTAATATGAATGCAACTGATGGCTTCTGAAATTTCCTCAGAAAAGGAATCTTAAAAGAATCTCAAGATACAGTAAAGTACCACCTTGAGTTGACTTAAATTCATATGTGGACAGATAATAGACTTCAAGTGAATATCCTCATGGTAACTTGGAAAGTAGACCAAATCTTGAGATTATTTAAAGTGGTAAACCATTTGGAGGGAAGAAAGTACATTTTGTACTAGAATGGTGATAGTAAGAAGGGGAGGAAAAATGTATGGCTATGTTAGAAGATATTTTTATTACACATAGCAGATACATTTAGTATTCACATATTTTGGAAATGGAGTCATTAAATTCTGAAATTATTTATTTCTGGCTATTTTGTTACCTCAGGAATGTTTGTAAATTTGTATTATGTGTCTCTCTGTCAGTTCTTGTTTTTTAACTACTTGGAAGTTACAGCTATCTTGAAAGTAGTTTCAAAGTTGATCCTGTCTCCATATAAATATCTGAATTTTTTGATGAGGTAGAAATTAACATACTAAATTAAGGCTTTCAATTAGATTTTGCCATTGTGATGTGGATCTTACTTGTGGAAAGATTTTCTACTTCTTTCTGGTAATACTTATCTAAAATGTGACTTTTTCCCTTTTATGCCTTCCAAAAGGAGTGTTAATAGGGGGCTGACCTGGTGGCATAGTGGTTAAGTTCATGCGTTCCACTTTGGCGGTCCGGGGTTCACTAGTTCAGATTGGGTATGGACCTAGCACCGCTCATCAAACCATGCTGTGGTGGCATCCCACATAAAGCAGAGGAATATTGGCATGGATCTTAGCTCATTGACAATCTTCCTCGAGCAAAAAGAGGAAGATTGGCCATAGATCTTAGTTCAGGGCCAACCTTCCTCGTACACACAAAAAAAGGAGTATTAATGATATTCTAAATTCAGATATTTCTGGTCCTACATATAAAATGTCATTTGAAAGATGTAGTTTCTTAAAGAACACTCAATTCATAGTCAGATTTTTTGGTGGATAAAAATTGATAGAGAAGAAAATTATTTCATTGGTTCATAGACCAATATTTACATTTATGCCACATTTGTAGGTATAATACTGTAATTTTCAATTACTGCATACTTATTCAGTAACAATAATAAATACCACTTTAGATTCCTAGGCATAGAATTAAAGCAGCAATAGCAAATTTTTAGACTAACTAAAGTATATATAGTAGAATATAAATTGTCAGCTATCTTGTGATAAGTTAATTTGTTAAGATGAATAAATACTGTGGTAGCTGGGATTTATTTACAGGGTAGCATACCAGTCTGATTCATGAGAGGATCATCGTGCAATTTTTATTGACTACTCACATATCTTTGGAAATATTTACTTATCTTATTTCAAGTAGTCTTTATAGTCCAAGTATGTTTTCTAACAGCTCATACATGGAACAGTTTTATCACTAACATTCAGAAAAGACAACAAATGAATCCTGAGGATCCCTTCATTCTTTATAAAATATTTTTTTAGCCATTGTCCCCTGCTCTTCATTAAATATATACACTTCATCTTTATTTTAGGCCTTCTGTCTTGTTATTTTTGTTCATGAACTAGCTATTGCCTGTTTGTTACTTAACTATGTTTTTAGGACACATTTGAACATCAAATGATTATACAAATAAATCTTGGGGGAAAAATTGTCTTAACTGCCACTGAATAAACAGCATATTATTAAATTAACAGTCTCAGATTATAGCAACCATCCGTCATTCAGATAGATGAGGCACATTCTATGAATTTCATGATTGTGGATGGACTATTGAAGCTTGTTGTTGGCTTAGCTTTGAAATGAATATACTAACATAAATGTTTTCAAATTGTTTATTTCACTTGTGTTTCTTTAATCATTTTGAAATGATGGTCTACCTTTATCTTCAATTAGTATTTGTTTAATAATACTATATGAATCACATGGGAGTTTAGTTTTGGAGAAAAGATTTTACTTGTTAAGCATTAAAGAAATTAACAGTATTCTTAAAGATCGTAGATCTTTGGGATGTAGGCATATATGTTTGGATATATGCAGGGACTTGGAATAAACATTAAGATATGTTACAAATCACGTTATGCTGCATTGATTTTACTTATATTTAGAAATTCATTTTAACAGTTGATGTTCTGGTGATTTTCTC